CTATCAACAAATTCAGAATGGCCAGTCGTTGACGGTCCAACACACAAAATGTGAAAGGGGTTTTGCGGTGAACACGAAGCACACACACATATAAGGCAATAGGCTGTATTCAAACGAAAAGGAATAACCTGCAAGTCGTTCAGAGGTTATGCTAAGAATGTTGCAATGTCATAGGGATAGGGACATCAGACCAGTGGCATGACGCAGCTGTTACAGACCACCGAAATGGAAATGAAGTCAAGCATCGTTAGAGGTGTGGAGGAAATGAAGACACACGGGCAGTAAGATAGGGTGATCAAACATCTGAGGTTTGTGCGAATATGGTTCAGTGTACGAGCAGTCCTCGAGAGGGCGAAGATAGGTCATTGATTGAACGGAAAGGTACTGTCCAACTAACAACCGAGGATACCTTTCCTCGGAATTTTCAACACAATGCAATAGTCCGTCACAATGTGTTTTTTTGGTATTCTTTCATCCGATCGCAGATCAGAGGCTGTAATGTACACTCTGATTTCCAGGCGGGATACATACTTATACCATTACACCTGTGCTATGAAAGAGATCACGGTTGAAATATCCTTCTGCTTGTTCCCCAGTGCATCAAACAACTATGCATACGTAACTTCCAAGCAACTGTATTGCAGACCAGGATGAAATCGATGCCGAGTTAAAGAGTGGATTGCTAGAAACTTGATTTACCTATATCATGGTAATTCAGTTCAAGCTGTGAACTAATCTGCGAAGCGTGAGTGTACTGGAAACTGCGCACTAACCTTAGGCTGATAGGAGTGTGAGTGTATCCAATCTGTGGACACGGACATGACAGTGACCCATCCATCACGGAAATCGGAGATAGTTTTATGTGTATGTATAATCAACAGTCGAAGTAGTAAACATGAGGCCAGCAAAAAGGAATGTACAACCTGAAGAATACTTGAATGAAACATTTACTGTTTGCGTTTCACACACTGACTTTTTCCTTCTTTGTAATTTTCTATGGCTGAAGCATTAAGCATGTGTGTGAAAACAATTATGAACACAGTTCTTCTACTGGTTCCAATTGCGAACGATGTCTTCACGCATATGAAGCCACTGTCACTCTTCATCCTTGGGTCCCTGTGCAGAGGTGCGAGTCCGACGGCAGCTAAACTTGATGCCAACGATTTCATGTGCTGTCACCAAGTCAAAGCTTAATAACCACGCGATGCCCTCGAACCCAATACTACGGTAGCGAATAGGATACAGCGCAACAGATGCTCAGGCGCTATGCGTAGAACGTTACCGAACCAGCTCAACCGGCGCAGCAAAACCTGCTTGTTGGAAGAAATGCTCGCATTCCCTAGGATGTGACCGCAAACCTCATCATTGTGAATTCGTTTTTTCCTCCACGCACAGGCAATCCTCTTCGAAGAACCATTGTCGAAGGCGGATAGACGGCTCATCTCCTCCCCGTGTATTGGGCGGGACTCCTTCCCATACATAAACTGTCCATTTACCGAGAGATGGAGATAGATGACACCACAGGTGCCGCGAATTGAAGAATACTGTCTGGGCTTTAGCGATACGGGGAGAAACTTCTATTTCGATATTGTCGCCAGTAAAAACACATCCTGGATGAACGAAACCATCTATCTGCTCGACTCGTGTACCTGCAAGGATGAGCCGTAGACCGTTCAAACATCTTAGAAATCAATTCCAGCCCGGATTGACGCTTACACTACACAAGCAGTGTCATGTAAACGTTTGGATCTGAGCAGGGTGTACTGAACAGAATTCTTAACCCTGAACTGATTTCTCGTCTTGATACATGTCATTGAAACGGGGACATTTGCTTTGATGAAGAACAGTATTGTCTGTGATTCACTGATTTTGAATGAGTATCTGAGGTTCATAACGAGTTGAATACCAGGCGGATCGGCGCCAAGCAAGGCGATATCATTAGCACAATCTAAGTCGAATACGAGTTCACCTGCTAGATGCTCTAAGCCAACATTTCGGAAGCCTTCTAGGGTGTTCGACAGGATTCCAAATTTGCAGAGGGACGCGGACATGCGGCATCCTGTCGCACACCACCATTGACAGCGAAGGGCGAGGAGAGCTTGTCGTAGCTCCTCATTTTGCCGAACATATGAAGGTAGAGTGTGCGTAGGATGGTGGTATACTTCTCTGACACCCAGTTCTTTAACAGGCAACGCTATAAACCGGGTCGATCAACTGAATCAGTTACAGCCCGTGTGTCTAGAAATGCGACGATAGTGGGCTTGTGGTAAATGTGGCTGTGTTCAAAGAGTTGGCGGAGCGTGACGATTTGATCCACGCAACCACGACAGGGACGGAAGATAGCTTGTTCTACATGTTAGTATGATTCACGTACCACACCATAAACCTTTGCCACTTGAAACCAGAGTTATATGTTCAAAAGAAATACGTACGATCTATTTTGTTACCTTGATCAACAAGCACTGTTAGTTAACTATTTGCTTACCATTCGAGCTGTCTATCTCGTTATTTTTCGAGTGTTTTTGCCTACTATTCCATTTGATGACTGAGTACATTATCTGTAGCTGTGAAGTAGGTTATCGAATCCATCGCACAAACTGCATATAATCAATATTTTGCTCTTTCCGGCACTTCTACATATAACCCACTATGTAAACTTAATGGTCTGATAAGAGTTTACCCGAAAAGAATTCTTCACTCACATTTCGATTTATGGTTTTGGTTATGCACAATGAAATGGGAATATTTGGTTTGTTTTAGCAGATGAAACTGACTGACCCAGCAGTTTAGACAACTCTGCAGCTTGGTGATGGTGGACCCATCCGCCTCGCAAATAACCTCTCTGACACCAAGCTTCCTGAAGTCAGCTGACGGAATGTGTTGGAAGAACTTGCGGGTGTTTCCAGAGGCAGCAGTTGTCTCCATCTCTAAAGCACACCCAGACCACCAGGCTTTGTTTGAGCTGCCGGTTAGCAGAGCGGCGCCGCTCATTGTAAGCCGCTTCCATCGGCGTATCTCTACGATGGTTGAACAAGTTCAAAGAGCGAGCAGAGATTCAAGCCTTTAAGGGGCGTTGGGCTAGACTGCAGCCTGACTGTCCTGAAGTGATCACAGCCTTCTGTATAAAAGTCCAGTATTGTTCAATGTCTTGCCATGGATTGCAACTAAGTGCATCTGCCATTGGACATTGATAGCTTGGCTGGACCGATGAAGCAGGTTGTCTGTCTGCGTCACTTGAGATGCCTGATTTTTGGGACCACCAAAAACACGCGCAGATTTTTGCACAGGCCAACGTATGCTCTGAGTCAATAAAGGTAGACCAAAATGTACAGCAGTCCTGTACACTGCCACGCCATCTGAAGCTAACTGCAATGTGATCAATTTGAAACCCTGTTTGTGTTGTCGTAGGGAGACGTCAAGTTGCAGAACATTTCTTCGTATGTTTGCAGCTAGTGTTGGAGAGAAACAGGCCTTGTCTTCGCAAAATGTGAGAAGTCTCTCCATTATCCGAGCGGTGCCTATCGAGCGCTTGGTGGCCACCAAGGTGACGTTCGTATGGTAATAGGTGGCCAACCCGTGCATTGAAATCCCAAACGAGGAACCCGACAAACGATTTGTTAGCGTTGTTCAGATAATGATGATCTCAATAGAAGTCTTCATTTGGAGCGTATGCGGAGATCACAAACACTTTGCTTCTCTCCTCGCGACGCTTGTTGATGCTACTTAAACGACGAAGTCGAACTGCACACAGTCGGCTGTTAATAGAGAACCATTCCAACAGTGCGGCCTCTGCCTTGCCACTTAGTGCTACAGCTGCACAATCCGAACCCGTTGAGGCCGCTTCTGGTTCACCAGAAAGACAGGTGATATGTGGCACTTTGGTCAGTGGGTGATTTAAGCGTAGGAACAGTGCTGACGTCCTGTAGTCGGATTTCAGAAAAGCAGCGGACATCAGTATCAAGCGGCTCCAGGGTAAGCACCGGAACTGATGAGTGCCTATACGTTGAAACAGTCCAGACGGAAAGAGGTTTGGGGTCGAAGGTGGGTGATTCTTGGTGAAGTGGGATCGGAAATAGATCCGTGAACACATGCTTTAGGTAAACGCTGGCATGAATGTTTAACAAGTGAAGAGTAACGAGTGTTGATGTTGCATGAACACAAAAACTAAAAAAAAAACAGCAGTTACGCACAGGATAGAACAGTCCGTTATTTTTTGTCAGATGATATGATACTACCCGATTGTCCAAGACGAAGTAAGGAGTTGTAATAAGAAACACCACAACGAGGCTTGGACGGAATAGCCTGCCTGCAAGTCAGCAGAGAGCAATCGGGGAATAGCCCCCATTGGGAGCCGGTAACTGTACACCCAGTACATACGTTTTTCATTTGATCGGTTGCCAAACAGGGGCCAAATCATTCTCATAGTTTCAGCATCAACTTGTTAAAATGCACTGCCCAAAGAGAGTGAAGCAATGAGGCGTCGACTTTATTTATTGGCGAGTCACATCCGCCAGGTCACAGTGTTGTTAAACAGGCATTTATGGTTTTTTATCGGGAAATAACTTGGCAGATGAAAATTCGCCACGTCTTTGAATACTGCCACCTAACAATTTCCTGGAACGGGAAAGCCCGAACAACCCAGCTGGCACCACATGAAGATGGTCGTGCGAGCCAGCCGGGGTTAGTTCTCGCTCGTACTGAATTCCTTACATATAGGTATGCGTTTTACTGCTAACGGATGCAGCCAGCTCTTGCGAGGCAAAACCGTCCCATTTTTAAGAATGAAATATAAAAATCGATTAAGTCATGGTGTTGTGGCATGAGTGCAGATGGTCGGAGCTAAGTTCACGATTCCCTTGTCAGTTGAATTGAAGTCTTGGACGCCTTTTTATCGATGAGTATTTTAGGACTCAATCTTGTAGTCAACTCGATAGGAAATTAGTTTGAGCTCTGAGATTTTTGCTGAACCATTGAAATCACCCATTATTTGATCGTTCCAGCGCGACGCAGATGTGCGCCGCAACGAAGTAAAAGACGTGCTGCAGGCTTTGGAAGAGCTGGCCATTACGTACGACGAGAAGAACACAGAATGCAAAAAGGTGGCCAAAGAGTTGGAAGATGTTACAACTGAAATGAGCCGGATTAAAGAACAACTGGACAAGCATGAAGCGGATGCCGAGGAGTTGAGGACCAACAGTGCAACCCTGAGGGAGAAACTGCGTGAGCTGATTTACAGCCTGAATGTGGAATTACATGAACTTGGTTGTCAACTAAACGAAGTCATAACGGTAAGTTGTACAAATTGCTTGTAATTCTCCGTCTAGTCCTAGTGATCGATTGAGGTCCTAAAATAGTACAGTAGATCCGCTCTCTACTGATAGAAGCCGTATTGCTCGAACCCAGTACAGGTGGACACTTACATTTTGGATTCTGTCTATCATATATAGTAGTATCCCTACCATTATGTAGTCCTCAGTTGCTACTATCAAAGTAGGGGTTTTCCAGTTGATGCGTGGTTAGTATGATCCCTGTTGAGCCCACTCAGGTTTGTGTGCCAATGGGAAACCGAGAATATATCATGCGGGTGACAAGAATGCACTTGGAAAGATGTGCACCAAATTTGTTGAAAAATACTCATTTTTTGCCTTCGGTGGCTGAGTGATTTTTGTTCATTAACATCACTCAATAGGCACTTAACAATATTCAAGTTAGCACTAAATACTGCATGCGTATGTCATAAAGCACAATCTGCCTTTTTTGAAACGTATGTTCTTCACATGGTTTTGGCAATGTCGGGTTCTGGCTTTGTTTTTCAAAGTCTAACTGTTGGTCAAAGTCGTGCCTTGTTAGTACGAATGTTGCCTAATTTCGTCGTGTCGTTCTTTTCATTGCTCACCATTTTTTCGCTGGAAACACGGCTTATCTCCATCGGAACAGGTAGGCCTTCGGTCTGCTGTCGAGCTGGCAGTTTTATTCTGCCCACTATTCCAGCTATCACTCCGTTATCTGCGAAGTTTCTCCCTGACTTCCAGCTAAATTGCAAATTCCCGGTTGATCAGTTTACGCCATTTCTCGAAAAATATCGATCGATTTGTTGGAGGCAGTTTGCGCAAGTTTAAATGGCATTTCCTTACCATAACTGGTATGTACCTATCCCGCAGTATGTACCCAACTTATTCCCATTGTGACAGTCGATTTCGGGCAGTGTTGCTAGCAACTTTATCGAAACAGGTCTCCCGTAGATATCCAGAGCATGCACAGAAGTTGCTTTGTGCGCCGCATTGTACGCAGCTCAGTGCAGTCCTGAATGGGTTTAACATAGTAGGGTCTATGCTTTGCGTGGCCTGATATCAGCGTCCATCAAGGCGTTCCACTGAAAGCACCTAAGGGAAACATATTAGTGAGTCGAAAGTTTCGGCACAACGTAAGTATCAGGAACATAATTTCTCCATGGTTTTGGAACATTCACCAGTGAAAGAATCCAATTTATTCCCTCCCTCTCTCTTTTCTTCTCAGACTCCCAACGCAGCCGCAGTAGTCAGCAAAGTACTAAAGCACATATATTTTTTACTGGCCTTGTGGATTATTATTTTCTAACCATGCTCTTGGCAACAGTGTTGCCTCCAAACGTCAGTCCAGTAGCTTCTTGGACATAACTCACTCCGTGGATCGGTGCAAGTTGAGCTTCTCCCTTGAGGTATTAGACATGTTAACATTCTTCAATTCCGAAATGACATCAGCCGCAGTAAGTGCGACTGATAAACGTGCATACGTGTCCCACTACGCTACGCGGGATCAGTTAGCTCGCACGAAAGAGAATCCGATATTGACCCCAGTCGATGTCTTTGATCAACAATTTCTTGGGAGTGCTTGGAATTTCTTAATTTAGGCGGCAATTAAGTCGTCCGTAATGTTTATTCTTTGCCTATTCGTTCTTAACATTTTCGTCCAAAACCGTCGAAACAAAACCGGACCACTGCAAGGTGAGATGAAGTAGCCTCTTTCGCCATCTATTGAGCTACACCGAACAGTGGCTTTGCGTGCTTGAGAGCCATCATTCGTAGAAAGTCGGCCAAATTCAATATCCATGCCATTCAAATTGTGGATTGGAATGGCACCAATTAATTTGAGACTATTTTATCATGCGAACTTGCACCAAATTTCTGCTTTACTGCACTCTGACATTTAAGACAGGGATTTTGGTTGCTCCTTCTGTTCGCCCTCCTAACGACGTTGAAGCATTATGACTATATCCAAGCTCACATTAAGCCACAACTTTCTGTTCATTTTCGTTACAATACGTTGTTCAACCATCTCTACCTAGCCTTCAGAACAAGCGAAGACCAGTGTATTATTACTGGCCTTTTACCATACGCACTCGTGTTGTCCTGAGGCCCAGAAGTCGCCTAGCAGCAAAATATTCGTTAGCTCATCATTTCTGATCTTCGTAGCTGCTTTTAACAGATTTATCTCAAAATAGCTAGTACAGCAAGCCACACCACCATGAACACCAGAGGCTGCTAGGGTAAGGATGTATCATGTCTCCGAAATCCACGACTTTGATGCGGTAATGCAACTTATTCTGTCTGACTTATTCCCTCGTTGTTGGTCTCACACGTCCAAGGTATGCAGCCACAAGTTAACATGAAAGGTACATTATCAACAGTTTCGGGAAGAACTCCCTACCTGTTGATTTGAGTCTCAAGACTGCTTCACTACAAGCTGCTTGTGCGGCACCACTGACCGAGGCAACCGTTTAGGACAAGGCTAGATCCCGCTTGGTTATTATCTCTTATATAGTGTAGCACCGGTTCTGAGGCTACCAAGGACACATTGTGCCACAAACCCAACACACTACTACGTAATGTAACCAGCCCACGTATAGTTCTAGTTGTAAAGTATATGAATGCTTGAGTAGATCGCTTAAGCTCTTCACGAAACAGTTAAGTGTGTTGCATGGGCTTAATTTCGGGCGCGTGAACAACAGTGGGCCTTGCTTGCGAGTTTAAGCTACATATCTTTAGTTTGATAGCGATACTGCCTTCAACCACAATGGACACTGATGCACTGTTTGGCCTATCAAGGAATCGCACAACTTTCAGTACTAAGAACTGCTGAAGAAACTCGGAGTCTCCAGTGTACGTTAGCGGCGGTTGGACGGAGACCTCAGAATGGTATACGAAATACCAACTGATCCCAGTCACGTATGCCGCCGCCTCTTTTAACTCAGCGATAACATAATATAAAAGGTAGTTATAAATTAAGTCAGCAACATAGTCGTCTAGATTGTCGACGAACCTACATCTTCTTTCTTGTCTACAAACCCTGTAACGCTCTTCCAGACTGGGTTGTTTGTGCCTTAAACCTGGCCGCTTAAAGCAGCGGACCTCAAGAGGCTAGTTACGTTCGACCACCGGTGCCTTCGTAAGTTAGCTCACATCTGGTGGGAACACTGCGTGAGCAACGAGCGTGTTCGACGCCTTGTTTATGGCACAGGAAAAGGAAATGAACCTCTCAGCACCGTTATTTCACACATCAGGCTCCGATGGCTCGGCCACGTGTTACGCATGCCAGCCCACCGACTCCCGCGAGGTGTGTTGTTTGCGCGCCGGGGCTGTGGATGGAAGAAGAGGAGGGGTGGCCAAGCGATGACTTGGTCGAGAGGAATGAAGACCCTCACTTCTGAACTGGCCTCGGTTGGAGCATCTCGGCTCCCTGGTTGGGGTCCGAAAGACGATGAACACGTTTGGTTGGACACACTTGCTGATATGACTAGGAGCCGACCTCAGTGGCGTTCGTGCTTTGAGTTTCTTTGTCCCACCCCATCCCTCTTAGCCTCCCCCTCCAACCACGATCTCATTACTTAGCCTTATATAATTTTGCATAAGAATTTTTTTTCTGGGTGCACAGCAGCCGGCTGGTAGCTTACCGGAACGATGCCTATCCCTTACCGGTAGCTCAGCCGGCTTGCCCCAGTTGAATTCTTTTTTTCTCTCCTTTTTTCTGTGTATTGCGGCACAGTAGCTGAGGTGTTCCCCACCTCTAGCTAATGTGTATGATGATGGTGATGATGTTTGTGCCTTCAGTTTAGACAATTTTATAAAACGTTTGGACATCTTCTCTACATTCTTTTACATGAAGGGATTCAGCTAACTTACTTATTTGAGATTATAATCCACCCTGCTACATGTAAATCAGTGCAAGAGCACAATCCGATTGTTATTTATTGTGACTTCGTCGCAGAAGCTTCCAAAGCGGCTAGTCCTCCATATGCCAGCAGAAGCACTAGACTGCAGTTCCAACCTGTTAGGCAACGTCAGTAGGACGTATTCATCGGATTTAACAGGATACGTATACTTGATCACCAGCGGTTTGCTCCCCTAGTCAGGAGCTTATGCCATTGGGCCACGGGAGACACTTTCGGATCGTCATGATTTACATACTACCTGTGATATAGCGCGCCTTTTCCTCCTCTGCCATGCAACTTATGAAGGTTGCAGGAGAGAGAGTTAGCTCGGAAAGACAGGATGTCCACTGACAGTAGCTACGCACGGCATAGCATTTGGAAAATGTTAGGGTGGATATGTTGGTGTACCCTTAAGTAGAGGATTTCTGATGTAATTATTTGATGGATCTATGCCCTTGTGCTACCATTGTACAAGGGCAAAGGAAGCAAGCAATGTTGCACAAATTATCGTGGTATCAACTTGCTGAGTTGTGTGGGCAAGGTGACTGTCTGAATCCTGCTCAACCGCCTCATCAGTCAGCTGGTGGAACCGAAGGTGACGGAAGAGCAATTTGGATTCCGTTCGGGAGGTAGCGCTATAGATATGGTGTTTGCGGCTCGTCAGTGGCAGGAGAATTGTAGAGAACGACACCAGCCTTTGTACTCGCTTTTTGTTGATTTCACCAAGGCATTTGATACGGTGAACCGCGAGGCATCGTGTTGGATAAGTTTGGCTGCCCGAGTGATTTTGTAATGTAAATTGAATGTCTGCACAGTAGTATGCGTGCGAGGGTGCAGCTGAGTGGAGGGACCTCGGATGACTTTGCGGTTAACGCTGGTGTGAAGCAAGGCAGTGTCTTAGCCCCAGCTATGTTTAATATTTATATTCATGCTATGATGTCTTGTGCTTTCGGTGCGGCTTATGCTTACGGTATCCGTGTGGAGCGCCGTATGGGTGGTGGGTTGTTGAACATCCGTCGTCTCGATGCCGGAACGCTAGTCTGTGAGACAACTATTCGTATGTTGCTGTTTGCTGACAACTGTGCGTTGTTTGCACACAGC